GCGGGGTGGGGGGCGGGGGGGGGGGGGGGGGGGGGGGTTGTGTTTTAAAATCTTGAGTAGTTTAGTGTTAGTCCAATATCTGTTTTGGCATCTGTGGAGTAAATGTAATTACTATGAAATTTAATGCAGGTACAGTAAATTGCATATCATTTTCACCAAATGGATCTCATTTATTGAGTGGCAGTGAAGATGGCAGTATAGCTATATTCCGAACTGGAAGTTGGCAGTTAGAGAAGTTGTTTACTAAAGCACACAAAGGCGAAGGTAAGCTCTTTACATTTAAAAGTATATTATAACACAAGAAAACCTATAAAAGAGCAGAAGTAAAAATTATAACATGTTAATAATCCAGGTTAATTTATTTTAAAACATTATACTTACATGCCCAAGTATCACTATGTAACAGTTATCATATGCATATGGTATTAATGATTTCATTGACCGAGTGGATGTACCTTGTATTTCAGCTGTAACATCCCTTAGTGTCCATCCAAGTGGAAAATTAGCTTTGTCAGTGGGCACTGATGCCACTCTTCGAACCTGGAATCTTGTTAAGGGTCGACAGGCTTATGCTACAAATTTGGGAAAGTAAGTAAGCAAGAATAATTTTGGTTTTGCTTTTCAGATTGAAATATTAAATACTTAAACAATTTGGATACTTCGATGTCTGTGAAAGAATCACTTAGTTGGGTTACTGCTGTAATGGTTATGAAATGTCACCAATTGGAGCCGTCAAATGTAATATACAGAAGTTTTGTCATAATTGTAGGGTTTATTGCCATGTTCACAAAAGCCCACTGGTCCCCATCTAAAGGCAGGTGAATAGAGTCCACATCTTACTTGCACAAGATCAATTTTAATATTATTCTCCCATGTATACCTAGGTTTTCAAAGTTGTCTCTTTGCTGTAGGTTCTGCCACTAAAATTTTAAATGCCTCTCTCATCTCCCCATGCATGTGGGCCTTACCCAGTTTTTACATAGCATGATTAAAAACGATATTAGCAGAGTTGTAGAATTTAAAATGATATTCTGAAAAAAATATTATGATCGAAGGAAATCTTTGTGTTGTTTTAAGGAATCGCACTGGGAAGGGAAGAGCTGTATCTTGTTTACTGTGGTCTCCAGATGGCAACTTGTATGTTGTACCTGTTGGTATTGAAGTCAACATATATGATGTATCTACAGCTGGCATTGTTCACACTATCCAGTTACAACAAAAAGTCACTTGCATATGTTTCTGTCAGGTAAAGCCAAATATTTTTCATGTAGACTGGAAGTTTTACAAGTCTGGGTGCTGATAGAGGTGGAGGAACACATGACACATTATTATACCACAAAAAATGCAGTGGCAGGTGGTGTCTGTCTTACTTTCATTTTAGAGTAAGCTGTCATATGCACCCATTTCATCTCTCCATTCAGTTTTAACACGCTTTAGTCAATGGCCATGTAGATAGTTTTGTCGCTAAGTTATTTGTTTTGTTTTACACCTTCCATTCATACTAATTTAAACAGGTTTTTTCTGTTACATCTGCATGTAAGTGTTGACATATAATTTATTTATTTATTTATTTCCTTTAAAATGTAACTAGATCAGCAGTAGTCTGGTTAGTTTACTTACGAGACACACTAAAAAACTGTGCTAAGGCATCCAAGACAACAGTAAATAAAGCATGTCTACATATGCTGAGAGCTTATAAAATCACAATGTTTTGACTCTAATTACAATATATGCCTAACACACTGCCCTTGTTTATATATTCATTGTAGTTGTAGAGTTCAGACAGTTTTTGACACAATGAAAGTGTTGTTGCTTTTATCGTTGTTGATTCCAGTTTTGTCTTGTTATGATGTTCTATTTAGCTTCATGTGTAATGGTTACAGGATACCATACTCGCTGTTGGGGATGAAGGTGGAGGGTTGTCATTTCACAGTATCTCTGACAAAAAGCAGTTAATTGCAGTTGAGGCTCATGAACACAGAATCAAGTGTATAACTTTTATCAGCACGAAAGAGGACAATTTTATAGTCTCAGCATCAAGTGGTGGACATATCAGATTGTGGAATTACAAGGTAATTGGCTGCTTTTCATTGTGAATTGAGTAAAGATAACAGAGTTCAAAAGTACAAAGCTGACATTATAAGATTAATAGTGTAACAATTATCATAGCATAGAGAAACTTTAGCGTATGGGCATATGAAAGTGTTGTTTTCATGTATAATCTTGACATGCATATTATTTAAGGAATTAAGCATGCAAAATCGTGAGAATTAATCTCTAGCTTAGTTATGAGGTCATTTGTTGCAATATTTATTCCTTGTTTCTCTTAACAAAATTGGTAAGCTGTATAAATTATGAAAGGTTTAGTTGTTTAATATGCACATTTACCCAATTTATCTCTGTTTTGGTAAAAAAAAATTGAAATATTGTTAATTTTTATTTGGGGAATTAATAATGACATTCTGTTGGTTTTCGGGTCAGTGTGTTTGGGTTATTCAAATACAAGATAATTACACAATCTTATAATGCTTCTAAGGACAGTGGGAGGTGGCATTGAAATAAGGAACAATTGACTGCATGCTTGGCAACCATATACTTAATTTGTTTTTATAATTATATTATGTATTCTCTGTTGCAGAATGGGAAAGTGAAAAGCATCTGCCACACTAACACTGATTGTCGCATCACCTGTTTAGTAATCCTGGAGGGACAGAATTCTAACCAGAAATGTATGAAAGAAGATGTTTTGCAAATACATTCCATTTACAATGGTACTGGTAACGACAAAGAAGCTATCAAACCAAAGCGACTGAGAAAAGATAGTGAAGATTCAGAATCAGTTAACAGAATACATGATAATAAAGCTAAGAAGAAAAATTTAAAACTTTCTGAAGCATCTCAGTCATTGGATGTTATATGTACTAGAGGCCAGAAGTGGTTAGTTGAAGAACTGTAAGATGGATCAGATTTCCTCTCAGAGAAATTATGAGCCATTATTTATACATAATGACTTATAAAATTTTGGGGACAGAAGAAAATACAGTGATGCTGAGACAGATGGGCTAGAACCTGCTTATCCGTGTCTTACACAAGAGCAGAATTGTTCAGTTGATGTAATCTAGTGGATGTGTATGTAATAAGTCCCGGAGGAGAGCTTAGTGCATTTAAGGTTTTAGAGTGGTGAAATGGGTCAAGCAGTGGGTTAACACATTGGGAAAATCAGCGATGGAAACACTATAGATGCTGTGACTGTGTATGGTAAATAAGCAGTATCCTGGCATGATGTTATTAAGGCATCTTTATCTAGGGTCTTCTTAGTGTTGCTGGATTTAAATTACAGTTCTCTCCTGTAAACATTTTAAGGTATCAGGTGTGACAGTTTTGATGGTCTGTTACAGTCTGCAACATTTTGTAAGTGTGAATATATTTTATAATACAGGATGAACCCAAATAATATGACCAGTTTAAAATATTTATTTAGCAAAAATTAAATGGCATACAGAAGTAAAACACAATTGTAAGGAGAACTTCAAAATGTCTTTTGTAGCATGGAGGTGATCAACTCCAGTGGTGTCCAAGAGAGTGTAACTTTTGACATGGCAGTAAAATGGCAACTTGGCCACACACACAAATTGGATTGAATTCACACATGGAGGGTCTCTGTGGAAGTGTACATTATGTTGGATCAATACAAATTAATGTTAATCTCACCGGACAACTTTTTCTGTGCATTCCATTGATAACAAATGTAATTGAAATGTGTTCGGTTGTCTTGTAGGGGAGACATGTGAACATGACCTCCTCTATGAATTCAGGCAAAAAGTACATATTAATGCCACGTTTTGTTGCTAAAATTATTTTATTTTGTCTTTTGTAGCAAGTACATTGAGCAATGATTTATCAGTATGAAACTCTGGAATAGGGCCTACCACTATTGATTGCTGCATGCAGTGTTTGTGTTTAACTTACAGGAATCGTGAAAGTGAGAGATGGGAACTGCATACAAAATTTAGAAACTTTGAAGGAATCTGATTACTAGTAAGACAGTATTAAAATGAGTCTTCAAGGAATAGTGTGTGTTTTGTATTCATGTGGCTCCTGAGATTGGTACCATTGCATACTCTCATAAACACTGAACCTTTGTATCTGTTGAGCATCTATCAGCAAATCTCTCTTTCTATGGAGTGAATGAGTTAGGCTTAAGCTTATAGACATGCTCCTGTCCACAATACCTATATAAGGCTAAAACATTACTTATCAGTGTTAATAGAAGCAACAACTTGCATTGTCTGAACTTTATGATAATTAAATGTAGTGATGAATCTTTTTAGTGGAATATCAGTTAAATGGCAAGAGTAAACTTGTGCAGTCATTGTTACAGTATGACCTTGCTTTATTTACTTGAAAATTGGAAACAGTTCATACAATAATGTACAGGTAGCCTTCAATATATGCCGGGGATGCGTTCCTGGAAGAACCGGCGTAAACGAAATTTGCGTAAATCGAAAGGAAGTCAATGACATGCGTTCCCAGCACTCAAACATCGACGAGTAATATAATGGCATTACATTTATAGCTCTGAAATAAGGTAAATAAAATAAAGGGAATTTAAAAAATATAGTTTATACACTTACAATCGGTAATTCATTAGTCCCCGCGATTGACTGCGATTCTTTCATGTGATTGATGCTTACAGTCATCTCTGTTGTTATGCGATAGTTGCATTCATGTTAAGATGCTGACCTATAGAAAACTGCGTAGTAAAAATAACCCCGGTACCTCCGCAGAGATTAAATTAGTCATTTGAAAGTTTAAAGTGCCAGGAATGAAATTGCATAAGAACAAACTTGAATATGCAAAAGTTTGCATTTCACAAACAACTTTTACTGATTCATCGATCTCATTGGAGCAAATTCGCGTTAATGAAACATACGTAATTGCAGAGATGACTATTTATAATTTGTATTCAAAATCAGAGACGTAAGAATTATGATTTAGCATAAGAATCAGTATGAGATACATTGTAAAACGTTATAAATAATAGTAAAATATATTTTTTTCACTGTTTGACTTGCTGGTTTCAAAATCGGCGCAAATCGAGGGCTACCTGTATAATTGTATAACCCTCTTAATAATTTGATGTGCTGAGAGATGTGTCTTTTGATTATGGCCCTGAAACATCTCATGTTGTGACCACAGCTCTTACTTTTCCATACACAGTTTGCTTCAGCACTGTATTATGGATTATCTTGGAGACTCCATATTGACAGTTTCACTTGTCTACATTCTTACTTTTATTGCCATTTTATTTACAGTTATTGTCAACAAAACATCTAAATGACTGTAAATTCTGTGATTTATATCATATTGTTTGTTATGTAGCTGTAATTAAATAAATAACCATATTGGGAACACTGGCATAAATGAGTCCATTGAAGAAAATGTTAACATGTCAGAAATTTCAGTGCTCACATCATGATGTCAATATATACATTTGTACACTTATTACAATAACAGTAGATGTAAGAAAGATGATTATAATAATTTACTGAACACTGGTTTGCTATGATTCACATGCTTTGTGTCTTCCAGTTATATGTTCAATGTTAATGTGATTTCTTTTATGCCATGAAGTCCAGCAAATCCACGTCATGTACCAGGATACCTGCAGTATGTTTTGCCATCCAAATCCTCCATGGAGATCCAGTCCTCTGTTGGACCTACTTGTGACCAATCATCTCGTACCTGAATGGAAAAAGTGTTGTATGTATCCTGTAAGTTTTAAGTTGTTTTACAAATATTTCATGGTTTCACTAGGATCAATAAATATTAGGATTGAACTCTTTTTTTGTTGTGTTGCACTTGTAATGAAATGATAGGATTAGACATTCCATACTAGGGACAGAAGTATGAATTACATAATTCTTTTTTTTTATTGTTGCTTGGTTTTAGTGGGGCAGGTTGATTTGCAGCAGATATGGAGCTTTGTCATAAAGGGTCTTGTTACTGAGGGAGTTACCAATGTTGACATTAATTATTGACACTTATCCACAGTGTTCAGGCTCTTTTGAAGTTCAGGGCTTCTACTTATCAGCTTGGAGAACAGATTCAGTAGTTATAATTTGATGGCATGGCAAAATTTGTTCAGGCATCTTCATATTCACACCATCAAATTACAAAGAATGCCCTTCTTTGGTGGCGTGGCTAAACTCTTTCCAAATATAAAGAAAGACCATCTTTATTACTGCAGTGGACAGAGAGATTCATCTGTGATGAGTTACGTCAAGTTACATATTACATTACAGACACAAAAAAGTCTATGTGCAACTCACATTAATCATCAGGTTGCAGAATAGTTTTGTTTACATCTTTGATCTCTGTATTACCAAGTTCCATGTTACTGTATGATATTATTCTCAGAATATGCTTGTTCTGCTTTGAATACAATTGAATTAGTTATGAAGCAAAATGCAAAGGAGTGACTCCCATATAGTAAAGAATTTAGTTTATACTTATCCTTTTTGGCAGTCACACACCTTTTCAACTTCCCTGAAGACTCTCACTAGGTTAGATCCTGCCAGTTTTTTGATGTCTGAAGAACTCCACTGCCTGTCTCTTGCAAGCTCAGCCAAGAGCATAGGGTAGCGAGAAACATCTTCCAATCCTGTTGGTGTACTACCATAACACAGCAGAAGTAGTTCGTGGTCTTATGATATACTGATATTAAAGTGTGTTTTGTTTTGCATGTAAGGAAAACTATAACTAGTATTACATCTGGAATTCTTTTTTGCAAACATCTAGTCATCTTTAATTTCAAAATTTTGAGATGTACTACATAATTTTCAGTAGGCACAGGTACTTATTCACAATTGCCATTTTACTATATGCAAAGTGAAAAATAAACTTGAATATAATTTGGTTGCTTTTGAAATAGTCATATTTTTAGTTGCTTATTTTCATAAAAAGTTACAGCCATTAATACATTTAAGAATCACATATGTAATAGACTTTGTTACTATACTATAGACCTCCATTCCAAGACGTTGAGTCCAGATAAGATATATTCTTATGCTTTGGCCAACTTCCGCAACAGATGTTTCCAAGAAGACAGGTTCTTGACTATACATTTTCATTGAAAAACTGACTTTACTAATTGACTAGCTTAATTGCAAGAAGGATACAAATTATATTTTTCAGAACTCATGCTATTTAAACTGCTGACAATATGACTGATCTGTAACTACATACATGTTAAATAAATAATTGATTTAAGTTGCACTGTCCCTCTCCTAAAATGGCAGGTCAGAAATTCTGATAATTTCTGTACCAATATAGGAAAGCTTTGGAAAATAGTATAACATGCAAAGTTACTTACAGATTGATGCCGTCGTATCCAGCACCCAGGCCCACATGGTTTACACCAGCTATTGCTCGAATGTGGTTAATGTGTGCTGCAATAAGTATAACATATTCTTAAATCCATAAATTTGAAATCATATAAGTATTCTGTACTGCTTAAATATGCTAAAACATTTAACTTTGAAACTTCTGAAACATTTTATTTTAACTATGTAATTGTAGATGCATTTATTTTCTTTACTGTTTGTCTTCATATTAATAAACAAAATTGAAGTACACGCATTATCCAAATGAATTCTTAAAACAGCCTCATTGGAGTAAATATTAATTTATTTCAGGTGCATGTTTTGTCATATACACATCTATTGTTGCAAAGTTAACCACACTATAAGTTTACAGTGAATAGAATCATAAATTATTTTACCCTATACTTTCTAAAATGTGTACTGTACCAAAAACTTTCTGTGTAAAAACTGAGGCCTGTATTTTGTATTATGGGCCCTACAGAGTAGTATTTCCTCATAACTTATATTTATTGCACAGAAATTTTACTGTAATTCTTTCAGTTACTCTACTTTATGTTTTCATTTTTCTTTACATCCATTCTGTGACACAAAAATTGAATATAGTTTTTTCAGATGCTTCCTTTCTCAGTTTAATAGTTGGAGAACATACTTGTTGTGCATTAAGGAACTTATGAATGAAGTGTCCTGAATTTGATATAAGTAATGTAAAATTGTTTTTAAATAATTACCCACAATATACAGCAAGTCTGTTTGTCAGTTTCAACATTTAGAAATTCTAAAATTGATTCTAGAATTCTTATTGGTTGGTATAGAGTAAAATTTAAAGTAATATATTTGTTATGCTTCTTAACATCTTTAAACTTATTTTTTTGGTGTTAATTTTATGCACATTGCACTGTTAACACCACATTATATGTGATTTTAGTATTTTTATTTTTGTTTGCTAATACTGAGATGCTATCACAGTAAGGCTTTTCAATAGTTTGCATTTTAAAAATTATATCTCATAGGCATTTAACATAACATTACCAATTCAGCCATTCTGTTGCAGCTTAGCCACCAGAGTAACAAAGTGGACCAATAAAAATAATTAATGATGGAGAGGAGGGATGTAAGTACACATTTTCCTCAGTTCTCAGAATCAGCAATTGATAGATGAGGCTCAGACATACCAATAACATCATGAAGTGTTGCAGTGTCTGTACAGCTGAGGAAGTTGTTGAAGAAGCTAACCATAACAATTCCTCCATTAACTGCCTGTAAGAATAAAATCATTTCACAAAGACTCTCGGCTGAATAAGTTTAGTCCGCAGCATCAGAGTTATTACTGCATGCTATGTAGTTTGAATGTCATTCAGAAAATTTAAGTATATGAGATGGTTGTCTTCTGAGATGTGGCATTGGATAGTCTGGAATGTGGCTGACTTTTCAGGGGAGCTTGCTTAACTGCCTTAATCACCAGGGTGCAATATCCCAGAAGACAAGCCATCTTCATACTTTCCATGAGAACTTTAAATCTTGTCTAAGCATCTGGAGTTCTTTTCTCAGTTTTTCTAAGGAAATACATGGTTTGTGCCTTGAAATAGGTCATGATGAAGTTATAAAACTCATATAGAAATAAAAGTTCTTACTATTATCTGCTACATATTTGGTTTGGAAGTATTAAGCATGCTGCATTTCACCCAAAATGGACTGTACTGAATATCATGATTGAGGGGTTATCACTCCTGGTTTCATTGTGAGAGACTTTTCATGGTATTTCTCAGTCCCACTAGACAAATAATATACTGCCTTAAAACAGCCCAAGACCACTTCCTTCTACATCATAGCTAATTCATAATCCTCCCATTCACTGCTGTGTAACCTACACAGTTTATAAATTCATAGGATGATTACAGAAAACAAATCGTAGTGTGAAAGTTTTTTTTGTAATGATAAATGTTAGTCTTTTGTGTATACTTGTTGGTAGATACAAACATTTTCGAACATACTGCCCTCATCTTCAGGGCTGAAGACTGAAGATGGAGACAGTATGTTCCTCCAAAACATTGGTATCTACCTACTAGTCCACATGGCATAACAACTGAGAAGACCAATGTCAACATTTTCACTATGAGAACCTCAGATCTCAAGATAGGTTTGATTAAGAAATTTTTATGTCTTATTCATTGTATGAGAATTTTTGTGATGATTTAAAGTTAAAACAAAAACATTGTTTGTTTTCATGTGTGCCATGAAGTATATTCACTCACCAGCTTCCTTAAAATATGGTCGGGTACATTACGTGATGAATTACACAAAGCCAGTGCTGATGAATGTGAAAATATAACTGGTGCCTTTGTTACATCCAATGCATCCACCATGGTTTGAACAGATACATGTGACAGATCTACCATCATACCAAGGCGATTCATCTCACGTATTACCAACTGAAAAGTAGGGCGCAGTTAGGCTAGAAATTCATGATCCATTATTATTTTCATTCTGTCTTACAAGTTAGTTAATCATATTGTAATTTCTCCAACCTTCTTAAAAAGAAACTGCAAACAGTCATTATAAGAAAAGACTTGAAAAGTCCCCAATAACTTTTATAATTTTCATATTCACGTGAGTGGCAGTATAGGTGTTTATAATTTTTTTAACTCAGGTACAGCAACAGACTTTATTAAATACTTACATTTCCAAAGCCAGATAGTCCTCCATGTTCTATAAAATCCATTGGTAGTGTGTCACTGGGATCATCAGCCAACGAAGAGTCTGCCCTAACAACAGGCAACATAGCAAATTATTTTAAGCTCATATTGCTTTGTTATGTGTCTTGAGTACTGAGAATACAGTCGTATTTTCTTTGATGCTATCTTCCGCCCTGTACATGCACCTTTGGTCTGCAAGGACCGACCTTTTAATGTTGAAATTTTTAATATTACACCCAACATTTTTCTTGTTTTCTTCAGACAGTTTTTCCTTTTACCACTTTATATTAGATATTTCTACACACTTTAGTTCCCATTATAAATTATACATTATCTGAAACTTCTGCTCACCAAGGTGTGTTACAAGTGTGTGTTAAGGTCATGTAACGTGCACCCAGTTGGTAGAACATCCGAAGCACTGCAAGACTTGACCCCAGTGAATGACCTCCTTCCACACCAATTAGGCTTGCTACTCTGCCAGAATGATATGCCTCTTCAATACCTGAAAACAGTATTTGTGTCTTACAGAAGTGTAGAACTGCTTAAAGTCTAACTTTTGCAGTGGTTGGCAGGTGGGTATTTAAGGATTAACACGTGAATAGTTTGTAATGGAACATGCATTTCACATTTATTTATTTTTCTTTCTATTGACAGAATGCACAGTTAACAAAATACTATATGTTTTGAACAGAAACAGGTGAACATAATTTACTATGCATACATTCATGTGAAGTAAACATGACTGAATGTATTTGAGAGGCACTTGGTCTGAATCTTCATTGGTAGTTAATTTGTAAATTCCAGCCTCACCTTTAGCAGTGGTAACAAGTTGCATTTGATTAGGATATTTATCCACAAGACGGCGAATGACATCAATCTGTTCCAAAGTCAGCTGCACTGAATCAAGATACTGTGATCCACATGGTACGTAAGCTGACCAGAACTGTTAGAATAAAGTCAACAGCACTTAATTGAACTTGAACAGGAAGTTGGAGATGGCATTTTAAATTACTAGTGTAGTCCTAGTATGTGATTTTACCTGTGCACCAACCATGCCTTGTTTTAATCGATGCAAATCTGTATGAGACCAGACACTTTGTGACCATGGTTCTTGCTGACGTAGATCTTCTGAGAAGTGGAAATCATGTAGCTGGTTATGCAAGAATTTGCGTATGTTCCATGGTAAATCGTTGTGTCTACGTTAAAAAACAGGAAGAATTTGTATGAACATACCTTCTCCAAAATTAAAGTTGACAAATTACATCAGTTATTCTCATTTTATTTTAATGTTTATTGTCAGCTACCTAATGCTTAATCATATAGTTGGAAAATAATTAGAGAGCATTGTCAGTGGCTACAAATAAAGGATGAGAAAGAAAATTATATGTTGTGCGTGTTATACAGAACACCATAAGAACTCTCAGAGTCAGAATGTCGTTTGCTGTGTTATAACATTTTCTCATCACTATTCATTTATCAAAATTGCATTTTCTGTGTTTATGGGATTGCTAGCAGTCACAGTAATTTTATTGTTAGCATTCATAATTATGGTTAAATAGTCTTACACAGTATGCCACGTGGGACATGGAGGTAAATGATCTGGCTGCTTTATCCTAGGACACATTGAATAGTAGGCTGAATGGACTCCAGACATTGTTGGTATAGTGGCAAAGAGAAGAATACCTGCCCCTGCAAGGAATCTAATCCCAAATGCCCAGCCTGTAGCCAGTTACCTCACTGGCTGACCCACCACAGAATCCATTCTTTCAGAAGAGTTTTTCATGAATAAAATTTGTTATGAATATAGCACTAGATAATTAGGATCTAAGAATTATTTTCCTGTACTAGATTGTATGACATGATTTTAGTCTTACCCATCTACAAGAGGCACTTCCTGTAAGATGCGTTTTACCACCTGTAAACGAGCTTCAAGGAGGCGTGAAGAGCGAAGTTCAAGTGCTAGTGGTACCCCCACTCCCACTCCCAAAGCAGCAGCAACAATTAGAAGGCCACAAACTGCCAACCACTGCTTGCAATCAAGCTCCAGCACAGCTGGAAGGAGTGGAATCCCAGCGACTCAAAGTTAAAGGTAATGACAATCCTTTACTTAATCACTACATGAAATTATATAGAGGGGATTTGGATCTGAATATAAAACCCTCTGAATGGGCTTTAGAATCATTCTGGGTTTGGTGGTAGAAGAGAAAAATGTGAAGTCCTTGTAGACTTTACTGTCTGAGATATCAGAGCTCTACTAATTCTTTAGTCCATTATTGAAATAATTTTATATTATCTGGTTACAAGTAGTTACAAATTAAACAGGAATGGCCAACCTAATGTTACAAGATTTGTTTTCCCTCAAGCTCTTCATATATATACCTCAGATATAAATTTTTCCTTTTTTAAGTTTTATTCTGAGATTATAATCTAAACATTGGTTTCTGTCAATTCAGATGTAAGTAAGCTGTAATAAGAAAATATTCTGTAAATGAAAAGAACATACCTCTTTCTCCTCGTCGTCTGTCGCTTCCATCAGAATCTGTACCTGTTCCTTTTTCTCCAGAAGGTGAGGGGCTCTGAAAAATTGCAGCAGCACCATTTGGCAATTTCTGTGCCAAATCAGGACTACCTGCCTAAAACAGCAATAAATCAAACATATAGTATATGAAACTTGTTTAAAATAGACTGTGAATTGGATGGGGACCTTTCTCTAGGTCCAGCAACACACAATGAAAACCATTATTGTTGCATTTCCATTGATACATGTTCTTGTGAATGCATTAGCTCTGCCTATCAGGTGTGGCATGAAAAACCCCTGGAAAGTTATGAGTGTGATATATATTGTACTGTGACTTATTCCACATCCTGCTTACTAGGTGATATTTTCCTTTTCCTCTTTCTATAGGACACAGGCTTTCTTTGTGGATATCTCGTGGAAACATGTTGCCCGCACACATTGCCTCATCTTTTGAACATCTCCAGTGCTCCTTCTGGTACAAATTCCATATTAGTTTTGCATATTATCAGTCAGACTGGTCTTTCTCCATACCAAATTTTATGTGAATAGCTACAAGAGCTTATTCGTTATCAGAATCAAATTGGAAGCTAAAGAAAACTTTTGCACATTAGCCATGTTACTTTACATTCAACACAAAATATCACAAACACAGAAACTTTGTATTTTCAAAATCTATATCCATGCATTATTTCAGGTTCCTGTTTTTAGTTTTGCTTCCACCTCACAATTTTGCATGTCTACTATTTTATCTGATTGTATATAATAAAAAAAATACAAGCTCTGGGTGGTCTCCACCGGTTTTACGTTCATAAGAAGTTTCTTATAAATCAGTCGACTGGTTAGAAGTTTGAGAGAGGGAACAGGTACACATACAGCATGGCGGTGTCATAGATGCACTGAAACACCAGTTAACAGAATATGCACTGAATTGGTTTTTCTCCTGGCTATATATATAAAACTGGGAGTTATAAAAGACAGAAATTTCCTGCTGGAGACAACAGGCCTATGACTGAGAAGAATGTGCTGCCGTGTTGAAATGCATTTTGTATGTGGTTTAGCAGAAAAATTATACTTTAATGCAAAGTAAAATTAGCCTAAAGCTTGAAATCAACTTTGACCAATATTATTTTCCAGCCTTCCCTCATAAAAGAGCAAGGTAAGAAAAAAGGAAACAGTAGTAGCCTACTATTCCCATCCAGTGCTTATTTCTTCAAATGTTAAAAGGTTCACATGCTGCTTAATGACCTTGCTTAAGACTGCCGATGACATGTCCCAGGTACGAATACAAGTTACTGCTTGAATTAATTCCTTTAGAGTAGACCTTTACGTAAGAGCCTACTAAATTTGTAATGGCAGGCGAAGCGCTATTTTTTCTTGGTATTTTAAACGATGTTCAGTCGATGCCACCTGCAGCTTGTGGGACCAGGGTTGCCCAGTAAATACCTTGTGCTGTTGTGGACCCGGATTATTCTTTCTTATCCACTACTCGTCCTGTTATGCGCCATTTCAGTTTAATCTCAACCTAACAATGTCTTTCTAAGTTTTATATTATTATTAATATGTCTATATATCTGTCGAGGAATGTACTTTAAATCAACATGTATGAGTCGATAGCGATATGCAGTTGAGTGGAGAGGCCAAGGAAAACCAGGAAATTCTTCAGACATGATAGCTGCTCCTGTAGCTGGCATTCGAATCGGGTACTTACAGACGCAAATATTATGCTGCGCATATGCAATAAAACGAAATGACATTGCTACCAGTGCAGGGACTCTAAGGTTTGTGAGGAATACTGGAATATGTGATGAACAAAACGAACCGGTAGAATTTCCTCGGGTTTTATCTGATTTTCCTAACATTCGTCACTGCTAACAATAGATTATAGAATGTGAATAATATCTGGTGGTTGCTAAGTAATTTAACTTTGCTTATATTTATATATTTTTCTGACCTGCCGGTAAGGTTCTCCTATAGCGGTGATCGTGTCATCTGCGGTGGATACCGCGCGTTCAATCAAATCCAAGTCATCTGTCTTCTGTAAGGATCTGCAAGCACTCTTTCTGTCAGCATTCACTGTGTACTGGTTCGCTGCGTGATAATGTAAGTAATTGTTGCAGATGATGGTGGTTGCTGTCGTATTTTCAAATTTCTCTGGTTCCCTGACAACTTCCATCCTTGAAACCTTACGTATGCCAGTTTTCCCACCGCATTACGTACTAACGGACAGCACAGGGAATGCACTTCGCTATTAGGATGGTTGTGCCCACCCTATAGTCGTGTGAAAGAGGACGTACTGACAAACACCGGAGCTAATTTTACGCGCAGGCGCCGTTTGCAATAGCCCTACCGGTTGGGTCGATACCGACACCCAGGGCCCAGAGGTTAGGGGCGTATGTATTCGATCCATCTTGTTTGGCGAACATGAAATTGTTTTTCAGAAAATGTTACTTTAGGGATACGTTTTAGGGTATCTTACCACCGCTCCGACTCTTGGCGTTAATTGCATGAAATACGAATCGGATGTAGTAAATAAAACTCTTCAGATATGTAGCCTATGTTTTTAACGCTTTCAAACATTACGATTTTAGACACCTTTGGTAAGTAATGTCTGATAGATCTAATTGCATTCGTTTCTATTCAACGTGAATCTTCACTTTGAGAGTGTGTTTTATGCAAGTGCTGTACTGCAGGTGTTTTTCTCGGCAAGTCAGGTTAACCCAAGACGCAAAAGTTCTATCTCCCACCCGAGTTGTTATTCCCTTTGCATAATTACTGGTTCCTCATGTTTCCATCCATCCGTCATTCTTATGAATTGAACTTTACTTTCCCATTATGATTTTTTTTTTTGCCTACTCGAAACATGACTAGTATCAGTTGTGCACACAGAAAACGTCAATGCAAGTTGATTAGAGTGAAAAGTAAATAAGACATTTGTGTGAGATGTTAGGTTCTCACGGCTTCGAGCTGCTTTTCGTCTTCTGTGTATATAAAGGTGTGCGGACTTGTAGTAGATACCAGTGTTTCAGAGGAACATACTGCCTCCATCTTTAGGGCTGAAGACCAACATCGAGACAGTAATGCTTTCCATTTAACCACTTTGGGTTTAAAACATAATGTGGCTTTGACCATGTGCTCTGCACACAACACAGTTACATAACACACAAAACCACCCCATGATTTTTCTCAACAGTTTGTATTACGGGGAAGAGAAATTCCCGAACTATACGCACACATATTTTGAAACAGTGTACATTCTATGATGAGCAAAACATCAGCCCAAAATGACAGTGGGCGATCTAAATGCACAGATTGGTAAGGAAGAAATGTACCAAGAGACAATAGGGAAACAAAGTCTTCATGACACATCCAATGATAATGACCAAAGACTCATTGATTTAGCCACTAGTAAAAACATGATAATCAGCTATTTTCTTCCCTAGGAAACAAATACATAAATACACGTGGAGACCAGCAGATGGAATAGCCAACAACCAAATCGATCATTTGTTGATAGACAAGAGAAGAGATACAAGTGTAATAAATGTCCGAACATACAGAGGAGCAAGTTGTGGGACTGGCCACTATTTAGTTAAAACAGTCTTCAGAGGAAGGACAATGAGACTTCCAAAGAAGGGTACAGAGGCAGTGCAAAATGTAAATATTAGTAGGCTAGAAGACCAGGAAAACCTTCCTAACTAATTTAGAAGGAAAACTGGAAAGCATGGGATTGCATCAACCACAAGATAATCAAATAACATGGAGATTGAGGAAATATGGGGAACACTTAAAGAGAGTGTTAAGAAACAGAAAAGGTCACCCTCGGGACAGTACAATGTAATAAAAAGAAAGAATGGTTTGACGAAGAATGCCAAGAAGACATTCAAGAAAGAGATAAAGCTTATCAAGCATATTTAGCACGCCCAACCAGGAAAAAGAAACAAGAATTAGAAGAACTGAATAAGAAAGCTCAAAACACTTGTCGCATTAAGAAAAGGAAAGACATGACAGAGAAAATAAGTGAAATTAATGAGGAATTTAGAAAAGGTAACACATATATGGCGTACAAAGAAATAAAGAATATAAAGGAAGGGTTTAAACCAAGAACTAATATCCGCAAAAGCAAGAAAGGAGAGCTGTTAGGAAATGGAAAACAAATACTATCCAGATGAACAGAATATTTTGAACAACAACTCAATATTTCAGAAACGGGAGGAATTGAAACAGAGACAGGTGAAGGATTAACAATCTATCAAGATACAGAAGAACAGCTAGCACCCACACTGACAGAAGTTAAGGAAACCATTCACAAATTAAAAAATAATAAAGCGCCAGGTATAGATTTGATACCAGCTGAAATCTGAAAATATGGAGGAGGTATGTTAATAACAGTGCTGCACCACCTTATAAACAAAATATTGAATTTATAACAAAATCCAGAAGACTGTAAGAAGAGCATAATTTGAACTTTATACAAGAAAGGAGATAAACAAAAATGTGAAAATTACAGAGGGATATCGCTGTTACGTGTGGCATACAAAATGTTTACAAACATACTGAAAGATGGGCCACGGAAATATGCCGAAGAGAATATCGGAGAATATCAGGCCGGATTTAGGAGAGGCAGGTCTACCATTGATCAAATATATACTGTTAAGCAAATACTAGAAAAATGCTGGGAAGGAAACATAGAGATAACACAAATATTTGTAGAATTCCAACAAGCATATGATTCCATAGATAGAACCACCAATTCAAGATACCTGGAAAACTAATAAGACTTACAAATATGACGATGGAAGACACTAAAGCACATGTGAAGATACAAAATCAACTGGAAGACAGCCTTACAACAAATCAAGGGCTCAAGCAAGGAGACTGTTTAGCACTTCTCTTTAATCGTGCCCTTGAGCATTAATTAGAAAAGTAGCAGTAGACACCAAACGCACTTTGGAATATAAAATGGTACAAATAGTAGGGTATGCGGATGACATAAATATTTTGGGAAGATCATTAAGATCAGTGAAAGAAGTAGCTGAAGTGCTAGGCGAGAAAGGGAAAGAAGTTGGATTACAAATTAACATTGAGAAGGTTACTTTTGATGTCCACAAAAGCCAACCACTGGTTCTTATCATGAGCTAGATGATGAACTAATCTTACTCGTATGTCAATATCAACTAGACTACACGGTGCTATATGACAGAATACAGCCGCCTTCAAGTCATATGACGTCCTCCAAATTTGAAATTGCCGCAAAAATCGTATGGATCGATAGAACGGAAAAGTACAGTAACTTCTTTGAACATCCAATAGATGTCAGCCAACTTCAGGTTTTAAATTTATTTTTAGGGAGTCAAGAACTACTGTAGCAAGCGCAAGCGGCTAATGGATATCACAAACATCCACATCTAGTTATAGTACGAGTTTAAGCACTAGACCATTTCAGTTTTGCGAGAACTTCTATAACAAAATAATTGCATTTTGGACGAGCTCTAATTTGATGTTTTGGATGGAAGAATTCATGCACATTGTGAAAGAAGGAAGTTTATGAAAGTCATACGGTTTGCACTTTTGCGACAGGAAAGAAATATCAGACTCAAAATAATTAAACATATGATTCAGTGATACGACATCGAATAGCGGAATGAAAAATAGTAATGGTAAAGGTAAGCTGTTAACAAATGTAGAAGAAGTGTCTGAATTGCTAATTACTTCTAGGGTAGATGTTTGAATTTATTCTGAATCAGGTTTTCAGTTCAGACAGACAAGAGAATGTTTCAGAGAGGGTTAGTTTGATGATCATGTTCGGTGCTGGTTTTATACTCCGCAAGCAATCGATTCTGTGTACATATCTTTAACACGCTTTCAAATATTGAATTTGCGCGCTGGCGCAAAGGACAACACTATATGGCCCCAACATTTTTTAAGACGTAAAATATAACCGTGTAACTGGAAAATTTAATTTAGTTCTTTATTTGTATTAATACACTATTATATTCAGAGTACAAAACATATTCTCTTAAAAATAAAGTTTATGTTCTCTATGCTGAGAATGCTAGAATGCACCCACATAGACGGCTGAATTGCTTGTGCGTGTACTGATTTCCGCTTATGCTTCACGTCGTAATTGCTGAACGTACTCGTTGTTTGGGCGCCATTGGAGAGGTAAGCAATCTTTTCTTGTGGGTTTTGAACAAAGAATTTGGCAATTTTTTACATTTATATAATTGATGTGTAATGTTTTAATATAAGAAGGTAATCTTTGTACAATGAGACAATGTAATGTAGTTTTAATCGCGGTGTGTTGGGTGCATCTGGAGGCTGGGTATGGCGTACCTAACCTGGTAGCTGCCATAGCCGGTTTATGCAACGTGTTTGTTGGGATAATTATTCATAACTGTAGTAGAAATGTGTTGTTGCACATAATATTGACTTTATTTCCATATAATGCACTATTCTATATAATAGGTTGGAAAATATAACAATGAAGAAGAAGTACGCCGGAGATGACTCTGAAAATGAATTTTCGGTAGACGAGCCAGAGGAACTGCAGGGTTCTGACGATGACTGGACCCCTGGATGCGGTGAAGTATGTTTAAATAGCTTTCTAAATTAGTAAATGTTGCACGTATTCAATTTTACTAATAACAGAACTTATTTTTATAAAAACCAATGGAGTCTTCACATCAAGCTGTACTTGTGGTCCTGCAACACCCATAATGGTAAACCAATGACAGAAGTTGTGTTTTTTTGCTACCTATTTCCTGTTGTTACATTGCCATTTAAGTGGACACTCCAGGTCATTTAAAGAAGACTCAACTTGGATAATGTTTGTGCATACAAAGTAACTGAAGGCTGTAAAGTTATACTTTAATGTGTATTGACATGCCTAGCAATTGAAGTTGATACACTTTACATTTTGATATTACAAGTCTGTCTTTAAGGGTAATTGCAAAACATAAAAAATAAACAACTTTACTGAACTCGACGTGGTAGCAGCAGCATAAATGAGACAGACAAAGGGTGGTGTTAGAGGTAGATGCAAGAGTGTTGGAGAGATATGAGAAAATGCTAGAATACATATTAGCTTGTAGGTAGTACTAGAGTATGTTTGGTAGACTGTGTAATCAGTCTTCACACTTGTCAAATAATTGCTTGCATTTGTTTTTGCATATATAAGAGAAGTATTTGTTCTTGGAACATGAGTGCATGAATAGTATTAGAAGACTGATGAATATGCTGAACTATTCATCTAAAGTGAAATATTTTTCAGCATTCTTAAAAGTATTCTGAAATGCTTCAACTTTGTTAACAGTATGTCAGACTGTTTTATTGATATAATTTTCATTATCCTTTTTGCGAATTGCAGGTAGTAATTTTCTGTAAAAGTTTTGTTCGTATTCTGTAGTTTCTGTTTCAGTATTTAGTAGGCTCATGATGTTTTCTTACCTATTAGTGGAAATATGCCATTGGATGTTAAGGCATTAAGTACTCAACAAAAAGATCCTGCAAAATAGTCATTCTATCTTTTGGCTGTCACTAGGTTCAAGTACACTGTCATACAAAATTAAAGAGGTTTATCCCTTGATAAGATTTTTTTATTTAGCTGTGACATGTTTATTTGAGGAAAATTGTTTAATTCACATGTCCATCATATGGAAATTAATTTATTTTTTAATACAGTGCCTCTCTTATGTAAGGATTACAAAATAACCTACTTTCAATCACTGCTTTCCTACTGATGTACTTTTCTACATTGGGCTTGCACATCAAGTTTGTGCATCTAAATATGGACATTTGCAAACTAAAACATGACTGGGTATGACAGCAACATTTTCTCTTCGACGAGGACACCCACAACCAATCTGGAGACACTGTTAAAATACTAACAAATGTTGCTATCTTAACTATTTAAAAAAATGTTTAGTGTTCTTATTCTTATGCAGTTATGTAAAATAAAACACAGTGGATGCACCAACAGTTGCTCTTGTTTCTTTGATGATATACTTCCTGGCCCAACAGATTTACAGCAGAGTCAGTGTATAAGCAAGGCAGTATCTCAGTTGAATACCAAATTTCATGATTTTTCAGTGTTTCCAGGTTACTTATCACCTTGCTAAGAGTCAGTAAGAAGCATAGTAATTTACAGTGCAGTTTTATATTCAGTGGTTAATTATTACACAAACAGATTAAATATGATGCAGGTGAATTTAAATGAAAGAACTATAAACACATACTGTTTTTTTTTGTTTTAATCTCATTGATTTTTGAAATTAAGTGTCAGGTATCATACGAGGTGCGATCGGAAAGTTTCAAGACTGTGTCAATAGAGGGCGAACCGGATGTAGTACGAGCTTCTGCTGCTAGGGGGTGCGGCCTACATTCATAGTGAATCAGTGTGCCAGCCGGCATCATTGAATTAGCATTTGTTTCTTAGTTACGGGTGTTTTGGTAGTGCATTACACCGACCCTCCTGCGATTTTGGAATGGCGGATTTTCATGAACAAATCAAATTTTGCCAAAGACTCGCCAAATGGCTACGGAAACCTATGAAATGCTAAAGCAAGCATTTGGGGAGTCCGCAATGGGTCGTGCACAAACTTTTGTGTGGCATTCACGTTTTAAAAATGGCCGAACCTCTGGCGATGATGACGAGTGTTCTGGACGACCATCTTCAACAACAACGCCTGAAAATGTTACGAAGATTCGACAGACCATTCACGAAGATCGACGCCGTACCATCAACGACTTGTGCGACATTGTTGGGAAAGGCTATGGGACCTGTCAGCTGATTCTAAAGGAAGAACTCCACATGTGACACATCGCAGCCAAGTTTGTGCCAAGGCTCCTGTCTGAGGACCAGAAGCAGAATCGACTTCTCGTTTGTCAGGAGCTCAAAGATCTTGCCGGATCGCCGGATTTAGCTCCGTGTGACTTCTTCCTCTTCCCAAAGATGAAAATTCAGCTAAAGGGAAGGAGATTTGAGACGATAGAAGAGATTCAGGCAGAATCGCAGATGGTGCTTGACAGGCTGACAAAGAAAGATTTCCAGGGATGCTTCCAGGCTCGGCAGCGGCGCTGGGATCGTTGTGTTCACTCCCAGGTTTTCAGACTACACCTAGTATCAAAATATACCAGAATTAAAATTTATAATATTCTTGCTAAACCAACTCTCACTTATGGTAATGAATCATGGACTGTCGAAAGTAATGACAAAAAAAGATTAATATCAGAAGAAATGTGTTTCATAAGAAGAACTTTAGGTTACACAGTTTTTGATCACAAAAGAAATTAAGAAATGGACATAATGGAAAAGGAACTAAACATTACACCAATAATAGATTTTATAACACAGTCCTGGAAAAATAGAAAGAACATGTACACAGAATGATTTCAGACAGGATACCAAAAATGATTATAGGATACCACCAAAAAGGAAAGATGTTTGGGCCAAGCCTTTAAAAGATGGATTCTGTTGTGTAATGCTCGTAACAGGCAGAGTTGCACCTGGACAGCAGCATATAAGGGGTGGCAATTTGCTATCAAACAACACAGAGAATCACCAATCAACTAGCAGAGCAAGCAGTTGACTCCGCTCACTAGCCACCCATTGGATTGTGCTTATATATGTGCACAAGCCTTGGGCAGGTATATATGTGGGTCATTACAAGCACACAGCTATGACTAGTTTTGAAAGTGAGGACAGAGATGGCCCTCAAAATGTCGGCAGAGTTTAACCAAGTGACACGGCTTCTGGCCTGAGAAGATTTTATTAATGACACCTGCCATGAAAGCTTGACAATATACAACATAATGTTTATGAAAATGTCCTCTGTTTGAATTCATAACTGTGTTCTCTGACACCAAGAATTTTCATAATTTGCCGCGAATACTTAATTAATTTTAATGCATAACTGATACCTGTGATGACAAGAATTCCTAGTATGCCGAGAAATTCCAGGCACTGTCATTGTCACAGCTGCTTTAATTGAATGCCAAAACTCATTCTGTGTGTTGACTAATTTTGAAAGTAAACTGCCCTTCAGATGGCCTCACAGATAGAAGTCAGCAGGTTGATATCAGATGATTGCAGAGGCCACAAAACTGGTAAGTTTTGTTTTGTCCATTGATCTGGATAGTGAGTGCTTTCCATTGTGGGTAAAATGGGCATCATGTATAAATCACATTCATAATTGTATATTCTCCAGTAGTTGAGGTAATTTTTCCATTAAAGTATTTTATTAGGATGCTGCTGAGGGTGTAGGCAGTAACTCATAAAGTTTTGTTTAGGAATTGCCATTTATTTCCATGCAAACATTAACTGTAAACTGTGTCAGGCTGTGTCTGCTGTACAAAGTTGCCACATCTTACAAAGCAGTTGTAATTATGTATTTGTAGGGACTTTCAGCTGAATTCTATGAGCTGAATATTTGTTGCATATAATTAAGAATCACAATGTATTTCATTTGTGTTCCTCTCTTTAGCAATTCCAAGATAATTTTTGTACTAATTTTATCTTTTTGGTTGCTGTTTCAAAACTTTCATACCGATCTCTGCTTTCATACTTCCATTATTGAAACATTTTTGCCATGCTTCATTTACAGTTTGTTATGAATTGTATGTGAAGTGGGTTTTTATGATTTTCATTTCTGTAGGGTACAGGAAGACGACAATCACGTCGCTTAAGAAACTCAACCACTACAAAGAAGCCTCGCCTGGCTGAACCTAGTACCAGTGAAGAGGAAGAAGAAGAAGAAGAAGAAGAAGAGGGTTCTGATGAATCTGATGGTGGAAAGTCCCGTGGCAAAAAGTCTAAATCTGCAGCCAAAGGTGGAAGAGGGAGACCGAAGAAGGCACAGCAGGTTACTTCCACATCAACCCCAGCTGGCAAACCAAAAGGGAAACCTGCTGATAACATTGTCAGTTGTGAGGCGACATCAACTACAGGGGCCCCAACGCTTCCCACACCGACTGAGAAGGAATTTACTGTGAGTATTGACTTGATTGTTATTTATGTATTTAAAGTTAGAATTGTAAGACCTGTCAGATTTTTGGGAAATCATATGTTTATTATTATTTATGTTGAAGACTATCTGCATTATTCAAATTAGAACACTAAACGGGGAAATTTTGTGTCATTTGTGGGCAAAACCTCCAGTATGGTACCTTTTTTGTAGCAATAAGGAGAAATTGATTTGTCAAGTGAAATCTTGGTTATGGTGTCTTTCTGCACAGCAACAAGAAGAAATCTATTTCTGATAAAAGGAGTACGTGATGTGACACATCCAGTTCTACATAAGCTTTTATGGTGGTGATGCAATTCATTTTAGTGACTGGATGTAATTAATTTCTGTTGGGTGATCAGCTGCCTGATTACACAAGAAGACCTTCAGTTTTGTTATAGTTTGTGAGGATAAAGAAGAACTTGATTTATTTAAAATGTGCAAGCAGTATGACCCCAAATTAAGAATGACCAAAGAAAATTGTTTATCTCATTGTTTATGAGTGCTTTGTGTTCAGTGCACGTGTCACATGTGGTCTACAGATAAGATGTGCAGCTAGCAGATGGAAGATCACTGGTTAGCACTTGACATGTACTCAATTTTTGGGCCTGGCATGTATTCTTTATTTTCTTTTTTGTGCAGTATTTTTCTTCATATTTTTTCAGTACAAATTTGCTATAAAATTGTTTTAGAATTATTTCTGTAATGCTACTATTCCTTTTCACTTTGAAAATCAGAACAGTATGGGTTTCACAAATAAGTCTACTGTTGTACAATGTATAATATATTCAAAATGGTCAGTTTTGACCAAAATCCATTTCTATTGAATTTCAGATTTCATGTAATGTATTTTCATGGACCTGATATGACTAGTTTTATCAAAATAAGATACTTATAATATTTCATTTTGTAGCTGAAAATATTCATGTTTTTTTTCAGTCTGGTGCATTTGTTGTCTTGAAGACAGATTTCCAGAATGGAGGTGACCCTCCCATATGGAAAATTGATGGAAAAGCTTTGCTGCAGAAGTATGTCCCATTTGAACAGGATGGCAAAACGCTTTACAAAAATACATCCACAGTGAGTGTCTGGTGCTGCAGTTGAAGTTTTTCTAGTCATTAGTTTCTGTGCTATGTCAGAGGGTAGGCTTGAATTTTTCGCTCGTTAAAAATAAATGTATTGTACACTTCAGAGGAAAGGTGTTTTTGTTTCTGAATGTAGTGGGTTCTTCCTCTTCCCAGGTGTGAATTATGAAAATCTGTAGAATCTTGTTTTCTGATCTGATCAGAGTGATAATTACAGCTTTTATAGTAAATTTGAACTAATATTTTAATGTGGATGGTGGTTAATTGGGTTTTAATCCTCCAAAGTTCTTTTTGTGAGCTTGTGAGAACAATTTTACATTTTGACTTTATTAGGAAAACAAATGCTTTGAGTAAGGCACATGGTTAGTTCTGTGATTTGATTCAAGGAGTTAGTAGTTTCCATCTGTAATGAGGATAGCCTCATTTAGGTTTTCCACCCCAAAGATTCAGGTATTGTGTTCCTTTAAAACAGTAGTATGAATTAAATTACTGTTTAATGTAGGAAATCTTTAAACTTTACTTTTTGGAGCATAAGATTCTGTTTTTTACTGAATGTCATAGTTGAGTGGTTACTTCTTCTGCTTCATATATGGGAGATCCTGGGTTCAGATCTCGGTCCAGAAACTGGCTATCCTGACTAAGGCTTTTTGTGGTTTTCCTCACTCCCTCCAGTAAGTGCTGGGATAGTGCCTAAAATTAGGCCATGACTGTGATTCCTTCCACTTCCTTTCACTGTCATCTCATTTGACATCATATAGTCTAGACACTGAAAGCATTGTCAAGTAAACTAAATATATCAAATAAATTATTTTGTGTTTACGTATTTTTAGAGTAAGGCGTGACTTCCTCTGGATACAGTAGAGCACCGCTTATACGGCAGGTTAGGGACCAGACCCCTGCCCCAAAGCGAAAATCGGATCTTTGCCTTTTTTCACTTGCAAATGTATATCAAAGCCTAATAAGATGTTTACAGTATCATATAGTGAGTGCACAATAGCGCTAGGCCTAAGAAAACGATATGAAAGTAAAATGAATATCAGTAGTACACACATTGTGGCTGGTTTGATCTTCAATCCACACAACTAAAAGTTTTTCCATGTCGGCAATAAGGCTATCTCTTTTTCTTATGACTTTAGAGTTCATTGGTGTGGCACTTTTAATTTCATTTAACACTTTCTCCTTAGCGTTCACGATGGCACTAAGAGTTTGGCGAGCTAGGCCTAGCTTACGAGGTGCGATCGGAAAGTTTCAAGACTGCCCCTATAAAAACCTGTACACTTATCTCAGGTATTAAATTCATCCATCACCCTCGAAGTAGTTCCCCTGGGAGTGAACACAACGATCCCAGCACCGCTGCCAAGCCTGGAAGCATCCCTGGAAATCTTTCTTTGTCAGCCTGTCAAGCACCATCTGCGATTCTGCCTGAATCTCTTCTATCGTCTCAAATCTCCTTCCCTTTAGCTGAATTTTCATCTTTGGGAAGAGGAAGAAGTCACACAGAGCTTAGAAAGGAAGTTGGGGTCGGTTCTTGCAAGATCTTGGAGCTCCTGACAAACGAGAAGTCGATTCTGCTTCTAGTCCTCTGACAGGATGCGTCGCATGTGGAGTTCTTCCTTTAGAATCAGCTAACAGGTCCCATAGCCTATCCCAACAATGTCGCACAAATCGTTGATGGTACGACGTCGATCTTCGTAACAGTTTCGGGCGTTGTGCTCGAAGATGGTCGGCCAGAACGCTCGCTATCTCGTCCATAGACATGCCTTGTTCACGAAGTTTAATCATCTCTAACTTGGCATTTAAAGTAAGAGGCTTATGACTCCTCTTTTTATCGCTACTACCCTTAGACGCCATTGTAATTACTCTGTAGTAACACAAAAATATTACATAAATATACAGTTGGTAATAACTTTGAAAAATTGCCAGAAATACAGAGAGATGCGGAGCGCACAAAAGCTGTAAACAGACTGAATCAGCGACGAGAAAATGGCGCCGTTAACGCACATCTCTGACTCAGCTGTTGAGCGCCGTATTAGCGGATCACCGTAAAGCGGAGCGCCGAAAAGCGGGGCCCTACTGTATTTATATAACATATTAGACCAGTATTAATATTGTCTCACATCAATTTTAAAGAGATGTTTCTCTAGCAGAGGTTTATTTCTGTTTATTTCAGTACTCTGGTTGGTCTGCAAACAACAAAGAAATGTACTATCCAGCACCCATTGTTTTTAAAATGCAAAATCGGAAAGAGACTATTGTCGAGTTCCTAAGGGATGCGATTAAAGAGTGAGTATGTATGTACCTATGTATCTTATATTATGATTGCACTGTACTGTCTGTGTACTTTTATTTTATGAAACACTTTGGAATGCATAGAAAATGGAAATTATTTGAAGAGTTTGTTGTGAGCTCGATCCATCACTGGTGTTTGTTTGTGGCAGTAGCTTTCATTCTACTTCATTTATTTGTAAATTGGAGTGATTCTTATGTGATTTGTTAATGTGAATGGAAATTGAAGCCAAGACTGGATGGATACTCATGCCATTAACATAACTGCCAACTGTTAAACCTAGAAGATCTTTGTGTTGTTTCCCGTTACTTCTAGATTTTTGTTGCATTAAAATAATGGTGTAATATATTTCTGACTTTTCCATATGAGCACACACTTTAACTGTATGTCTATATATACTGATCATTTACTGATGCATGTTTGTAATGAGGCAGTGGCATGTTTACTGACTTGTCAGTGTAGCAAACTCCGCTTTTGAATAGGGCACAGTTTGGTACAGACTTTTCTTGGAGGTGTAATTTCTATTAATAAATGAGTATCATGAATTTTGTTTTTCTTGTCATAAGTAATGAATGAAATAGCTAGGAAAGTTCACAAAATCTTCAATGTTTTTAAATTTTAGGGGTGGCACATGTGTGTGGGTATCACTTGTTGCTGATTGGCATAGATGCATGTGTTTTGAAGTGAGAGTCATGCATATTTTACTGGTCAGCTCATTATTGTAGGGAGCAGATGATGGATATTTACAATTTAGATCATTTATACATTCTTCACACAAACTTGGATGTAACTCAAATGGCAGAAATGTTAAATGGGTCAGTCCACACGAGGAGTTGCAATTTGCAATGCGTTGAAAATTACTGTTAGTTTGGTGTATCGTGTTAAATCAGCAGATGTGTATGTGGAATATGAGTACGGCAGATCTTATTTGGCTTCTGTTTATTTCAACTTTCAGTCAGAATTATTGATACTAAATAAGACTGTTATTACACTGTTATGTATGGATGGATTTGAGATCCAGGACTTTTCCTTTCTGTATGTTATGTTTATGAACAGTTACTTCATTATGCTGGAATTCAGTAAAATCTATTAGGGAGAGTCTGCTGTATTTAAAATCATTTGGTTTATCACAGGATTAGATATGATTATTTTATTGAGCAGATATAATATGCATAATCCATTAATGTTCTCACGATATAGGGTTCCTGATTGCACAAGTGTGCAGGTTAGGACATAACATATTTCTCGTCGCATCATATTTGTTTGATTTTTTTATGAAAAATTTTAGGGTTGGGTTTGTGGTCCAGCACTTCAGCATTTACAATCTTAGGAGGAATTCTTCAAAAGTTGCACCTTGTTACTCTAGTGTTACTATTGTTTGTTAACTCTTTTTCCTGCCCCCACAGTTCATTACATTAATAACTGGAAAGAGGTGTATATAGATGGATCATAGTATTTTAAGTAGATTCTTCCCCTCTTCAAGTCACCAGTAGCTGTCTTTCTGCTAGGTCAGTTTTGTTACTTTTCTCTTTGCATATTCTGTGGCAAGGATTAGATGTGACCTTGAACTTCCTCTCATAAAGATAGGCTGGACTACTTTTTTGTGAATAAGCTCTGTTTAAATGGAGGAATTTTACATGAAATTCTTTAGTAAGAAAGATTTTGTGCATAATGATGACTACTTTGTTGTATTTAAGTTTGTTGTTAAGGAAAGCGTAATGGATTTATTGAAAATCCCTGCCTATTGATTGGTGTCCAAGAAATTGGGATAGCATTTTATTAATATAAATTGAATTGTAGCAGGTTAGTTTTATGGTCTGCAAATTTTAGAGATTGCAGATTTGAGTGCGTAATTTCAAGGGATATTTTAAACTTCTAGAAAATAAGTGGCTGATTGCTGGATAATTTAATTATTTATGCAATTCTTAATTATACTAATTCACAATAATAGTGATAAGCAACATGCTTCAGTAAGGTTTACATTAGATGTGGTCTTTAATCTATATTTTTTATAATTTGCTGTGGTAATGTTTGTGAAACAGGAATACATTTATGTTAAGTTACTTGTTTTCAGTTTCTCAGTAAAAGACAGTACAGTAGGGCACCGCTTATACGACAGGTTAGGGACCAGACCCCTGCCGCAAAGCGAAAATCACCGAAAAGCGGATCTTTGCCTTTTTTCACTTGCAAATGTATATCAGAGCCTAATAAGATGTTTACAGTATCATATAGTGAGTGCACAATAGCGCTAGGCCTAAGAAAACGATATGAAAGTAAAATGAATATCAGTAGTACACACATTGTGGCTGGTTTGATCTTCAATCCACACAACTAAACGTTTTTCCATGTCGGCAATAAGGCTATCTCTTTTTCTTATGACTTTAGAGTTCATTGGTGTGGCACTTTTAATTTCATTTAACACTTTCTCCTTACGTCCTATCTCGGCCATAGACATGCCTTGTTCACGAAGTTTAATCATATCTAACTTGGCATTTAAAGTAAGAGGCTTACGACTCCTCTTTTTATCGCTACTACCCTTAGACGCCATTGTAATTACACTGTAGTAACACAAAAATATTACATAAATATACAGTTGGTAATAACTTTGAAAAATTGCCAGAAATACAGAGAGACGCGGAGCGCTCAAAAGCTGTAAACAGACTGAATCAGCGACGAGAAAATGGCGCTGGATGCACTTCTCTGACTCGGCTGTTGAGCGCCGTATTAGCGGATCGCCGAAAAGCGGGGCCCTACTGTAGTGGTTTTCATAAGGAATTCCCTTGGAGTATATGTCAGTGGCATTATATTTATGATTTCAAATTTGGTTGATATTGTAAAATGCGGAAGTTGAAGACCCTTGCCCTGGTACTAGTAAATTAATTGTTCTGTTTAACTGTTTGTTGAATATTGTACACTGCATGTAAAACTGAACACACATAATGTCAACAAAATTGATGTCATTCATTGGTTGATTACATGTTGCTCATCATTATTACTTAAGTAAAATTATTTGTCTCATTCAGTAATTGAACCTGGGCCTTCAAGTTAATTTTTGTATGAAGATTTTACTGTATAATTTATTGTATTGTTTACACTTTTTCTGTCAGGCTGAGAATTTGCTTTCTGGATAGGCCTAAGTGTTTGTTTTTCATGTGGTACAACAAAGTTCGAGATGCTCTTGATGTATAGAGTTGTCCAAGAAAAGGTAACTGAACTGAACTGAAATTTGTTGGAATATTTACATTACTACATTGTTTTGTTATTCTGGGATAATGTTTGCTATACATGTCAATCTTGACATGCCACTGTGTGTTCCATACATACAAGTAAGAAAGTAGTTACTTTTTATTTTTTTTAATACTCTGTATGACCTAACATTTCTGGAAAGGAATGTTTTGCACTGCATTAAGTACATGTATGTGTGTTTTCTGTGGAAACAACTGCTATTACTGATTTCAGCTTGTGTAAACATACATGAATTGTATTAATTTCAAGATGACTGCCCTGTGATGGGTAGGCCATAATATGGAAAGGATTTTAGTTATTATTGCTTAATACCATACATAGTAATTATTTGATTCCCACTCCCCCCACAGAGATGACAGTGAATGATGAGGTGTGGAAGAGAATGTAAAGAAAGAAGAGGAAAGTCAGTGGCAAATTTTTCTAACAAAAAAATATATGATATTGTTGGTGGCCAGCGAAGAAGGTTTGAACATATGATCGTGTTATATTAATGGATTAGGACCTTACTCCATGTTCCCTCTTGTTCTGCCTCAGGTCCTTTTCATTTTTCCAGTGCATTATTTACAGTAGTCTGTGTATGTATGTGTGCACATATGTATACATACAAACAAAGAAACACACATGCACACTCTTATTGTCTCTAGAATCTGAATTTCATGCAAACACTACTTCAGGCAAAGTGAGGCAGAATCAGTAAAAATTCCCAGCAAATAGTTTCATTTTGTGTCCCAGAGAAAAAGTGTGACTAATTGTTATGAGTCCTGTATTGTGAGCTGAATTTGCTTACCTCATGAAAAAATGAAATGTGTAAAATAATTAGTTCAGTAGCATGTGAGTGATCTTAACACCCACTTCTGAAGTTGCTTTATATGTGCATGAGTGAACCTTTCTTTTCACAGAAGGATATTTTTTGTTTTGCCCTCTCCTTCCACCTTTTTTTATTTCCATCTTTCCAGACTTCATATAGATAGCAGAATTCTGAATTTTGATTCATTAGTCTTTAACTGCCACGCAGGTTGTTTTTCCATATGCCACATCAAAGGTTAATAAAGTAACATTATTACAGCAAAATCATTTTAAGGGACCTTTAGGTGTTGTATTTTTTCATGTGTTTGTGAGCATTAGAATTCTGTACAGTGTTACAGAAGAAAAACATTTTATAGTGGCGTTGCCATGGGGGGATCTTTGATAGGTTTTACTGTATGAGAATACCTTTAACTTTGTGATAAATCATTATTTCAGATTTCAATTTCTCAAAAAATCTCAAATAATTTCAATTTCTCGTGAGATAAGCTGTTGATATGTACATAACGTGGTTGGTAATAGATTACATTGTGAATGAAAAGCAAAAGGAACCTTGAATGATTTTCGAATGTCTGTCAGTTTCTTAATATGGAGATGAAATGCCATTCTAACTCTTTTCCTTCTACAAATCTCTTGATAAGCGACTGGGGCCATATGTTATTCTTTTCAGTTCTGCTCATCACTATATGAACCATAATGGTACAGTATTGAGACAAGTAATTACATTAGAGATAATGCAGTTTATGCATTGGTGCATTTTTTAATAGGTACATTCATTTTTGTCTGGATACTGAACTAATATGTCATTTTACATATCTATTTAGAAAGAACTAGGCACACAAACATGCATCAGGATAATGAAATTAGTAATGCTCCTTTATTTTCACATCTGTTATGGCAATTCATTTGTCCAGGATTATTGTTGGTGTTTTTAGTATATCTGTATTATAATGTAACCAAATATGATACTGCAGACTTGAAGCGATATCTGTGCAAGTTTACATTTGATCGTGAAGAGTGCTGTAGTATTAGATAAAGGAGCATTCTAAATTACATTCTTTGTGACCTGTATTTTAATTTAAGATTTAATTTTCTGTCATTATTGTACAGTACACAGTATCTTGAACAGTAATAAAAATTGCTGCGACAGATCATCTGACCGATGGATCGAGTTCTGTCGCTTTACTTTCTAACTAGCTGATAAACTTAGTACTATACTGTATCATCAATGTTTCTGAAATTATTATTAGTTGCTTAGTTAGATGTAGTATCTGTTTAATAAGTACAAGAAGAAAAGTAGTCATATATGTTTGTACAATTTCTATCCTTAAATATTGAAAATTTTGGCAGTTTGACTTATAATGAAGTGACAAATTGTCTTACTGGGGAAATGTATTTTTACAAAGTGTTGAAGAAAGTTCATAAATTTGTTTGGAAACATAGAATGCAGTTGGTAAAGTTTGTGTAGATTTCTGTGTATGTTTGTGAGGAAGTAGGCAATTTTAATTCCCCATTATGGCACCATACATATACAGTTACATTCTGTATTCTGACAGTTCTTTATAATTTGCTGTGATAGGAAATAGATATCTGTTTGTGCAAGGGGGTCAATTATACATTGTAAAGTTATCATTTATGCAGAAAGTGTTCTGTTTCCATTACAGTAGTATTTTGTAGTATTCTTATTTGGAGCACAGCTTGAGATAAGTCTGGTCACAGAATTTTCATATAGTGTTTGGATAGAAATTTTATAAATTACTGTGAAGTTTCAACATCATGTGAAAGACACTATCTCTGGTGTTACTGAGAGAATCGATCTGAAAATTATGTCAGAGTTAAATCATAAAATGCCCATTATGTTTTGAAATAACTTAACCAAAGGGGTATATTGGTAAAGTAAAGTATTCTCAGAGGTTTTGTAACATCTTTTTTTATGTCTTGTGCAAATTTAACTTGTCTACAGAAAGTTGAATGTTTTATTTCATAATGTATTCTGCACTTTCTGTAATACATTAAATTTAAAACAATTATCTAGAACCGTGTTCTTGTATTGTATATTTTATTAGTCTGAAATTGAGGTGGTATTTCCTGTCTCCTTGAAGTAAGGGAACTCCTCGTTTTCATTTCTTTTGCATTATTTGGACCTGCCATTCCACTCCATCTTGTTTAACCTTTATCAGATCTTGTCAGCATTTAGGTTGACCATGCAATGCAGTTGTGTACTAGGAAACCATTAAATGTGGATTTCTTGTCTGGCCAGCAGACCTGTAGAATGGGAGTGTAGACTTCTTTTCTATATGGCAAGGGTTAAGCTTATAATATAACATGTATGCAAGGAGAAAGTAAAGTATTTTCTCAAAATTAAAGGCAGGAATTTATGCAGCTAAAATTTAATTTACTTTATATGTAGGTGACTACAATAGATGTTTGTGGGATATGAGTGATAAATGAAAATCAGGAATGTGAAGTATGCTGAAATTTTTTTTATTAAACTTCACAATGATCAGAAGGATCTACACATTTGTTCTCGTGATTATTTTGTATCACATAGCTCTTCTTCTTCATCTCTTATGCCTTCTTCTTCTTCTTCTGATGATGATGGAAAATCTGAAACATCTGCAGAGGACAGCTACTTTTAGGAGTAACTAAATCAGACATCTCTACCCAGACACCAATAACAGAATGATGCACTTTTAATTGGTGAGTTGGCAGAAGCTTTGTTTTGTAGTCGTACTCAAAAACAGTAAACATAGTGACACTTTGAGGTATAAGTAAAGACTGAATAAACATATCACAACTTTTTCATAGAGTTTTGAATTATTAAATAGCAAGGGCTTATCTGTTAAGCAGACTACTTACCTTGATAATGTGCTGCTTTTTCAAGGCGGGCCTCTTCCAGATATTTATTCTGAATAGCAACAACAGATGAGCTGTCCCCTTGGGATGCAGCATATGCATCTAGCAGTGTTTGGTTCAGAGTGATGAAAGATTTTCCCCATTTGAACTTGCTTAGATATAACTGAGCTTCTTCTTGAAAACCTGTTTATTCAACTAAATCTTCATTATTTATGCCTCAACAATTCAAATGTTTATATATTTTTCATTTCTGCCTACATTGCTGTGGAGAACATAAATACATATGTCATAAATGTTATTTCATAAAAAATTTCAGTAAGGAAACCTATCTGATGTGTAGTCTGTTTACATTTTTGTTGGTAGTGGATAAACCTTGAAGCTTATGCAGCAACACTTAAAATTTATACGTATTGAGCACTAGTTGATAGCAAGTTTCCATCCTGATATAAGGTGTAACAAGGGCCTTCTTCTTGTAAGTCAGTACATTAATTTAAAAAATAAACATAAGAGCAGTACATGTTCATGCTTCATAACTAAAGTTCAGGAAAAGAATACAATAAGTGCCAAGTGATTTATTTTTTAAAATTTGATCAAATAGTTTAGAAGTTGTAAGAGAACTGTCAAAATGTATGCTGTCATTCAGTTCAAAATAGTTTAAATGCATGTCTTCTTTTTTTAGAAACTACTGATCAAAATCTCTACAGTCACAATTCATGTATGAAACTTACCTTTTCACTACAAAGAAAAAGCATAGGTATAAAAAGATCTGGATCCAAGAAACATGACCAGGGAAATTCAGGTGATTACATGATAAAGAGCTTCATAGTTTGTATGCTTCCCTTCATCTTGAGTAAATCAAAGGGTCTGAGATGAAAGAAGTATAAAGGAAACAACAGATATGTATAGAATTTTTATTGGAGAATATATGGAAAGAGTCTGCTTGTGAGATGAAGATGTAAAAAATGTGTAATATTATGGGTATTACAAAATGGGTTGTAATTATGTTAATTGGTTGGGTCCAGTGGCAGGCTTTCGTGGCTTGATGTTCTAAACACAAGAAAATTTTAAGAACTTAATATTACTGGCTATTCAGGGATTTGTCAATGAGTATTCATCTGTACCTGTGATATGAAGAGCAGCTGCCAGGGCCTCCACACATGACAGGTGGCATGGCCGTCCATAATTAATTGGGTTTGCAGCAACAAGAAATGGTAAAAGGCGGCAATGTGTAGACTTCATTCGTGTGAAAGGTGTCTCATCAATTTTTGCCCACGAGCAGTCCACTACTGCCAAACCATGTGTTGAAATGATGGTTCGGTCACTGGGTGAGATACACTGGAATATAAGTACTATTTCAGAATGAACAGTGACCCTTTACTGTTCATTCCTCTGGTATCACATTTGCAAATTATTTTAATATTGTTAGTTCTGCCTAAAATTTGTCTACACTCAGATATTCACTAGCAATCCAGGAAGTTCCATACTAAATAATCCAACCCTTAGTTAATACTAAATTATGCAATTTGTAGTAGAAACAAGTATTTGTGCTGTGACATGGTCTACAACCTTGGCTTGGGCCAGTGAAGTATGTGTGGATTGTAAATAAATTCTGTTCTATTGGGCAAGGTGAGATTTCAGGTTCTCGCAGTGCTAAGTATAAAGACAGTCATCTTAATATTGACTAATATTTCCAAATGCATGTAGTAAAAGCTGACCAGATTTGGCAAGTAGCTGCTGCTGCAAACATTCTGAAATCCATTCATATTGTGGGCTGTTTATTTTGCATGCTGTTATGTTAAACTCTTGTACTTATGTGGCTTCTACACAGTGTATTAATATTAGTGATAATCGAAGAAGTCCTGGTTTCATACCTTTTCTCCCACTGGAGTCAGTACAACACCGCCAAATCGTTGCCCTAGCCTGAGTGTTCTGATGAGACCATGACGAGAAAGCTTGCGTCCAGAACATTTCTTTGGGTCACACTGACCTAAATCCCACATAGCCACAGGGAATTGTGCTCTGGTAATATATGGCTGTGAATTACCTGAAATGTTGGATTAACTTTCAAAATGCATTAGTGTTCTCATTAATGCAACAGAACTATGAAAAATGTACCAGCATGAGTTAAGATAAAATTTGATACCTAGTTTTAAGATCTGGTTGATGTGGCATTAATACAGAAGTGTACTGATTTGTGTTGTACCACTGATTTGAAGAAATTGTTCCAGGATATTTAATGGAAAAATAAAGCCAAAGTAAAACCTGCATAATGAAAGTGTCTGTTACATGTTATAGAAATTTAAAGAACAAAAATGTTATTACCATGAGAAGAATGAAAGAAAGAAATTTAAATGCTAGATAACCATGTTTTGTAACATATTACTAAGGGAATTATTGGATATTCAATATCAGTTCTAACTTGATGACTGGATAGAAATGTTACAGCAAATCATGACTATCCTCTTAAAACTTTGCATACCATGTAGTGTATTAGAATATAGAGTGAACAAACCAACAACAGCAACAGCATCTAGTGCAGCCATCTTGTCAATTACCTTTTATTTTAATTATGAAATTTGCTTGAACCATTTGACTGTATTAATTTTCCTGATGCCACTGATGATGACCTCTTGAGGTCGAAACGCGTATGGCAATAGTGTCCATTATAGTGTTAATAGTTGTTGGTTTGTTCACTCTATATTCATGACTATCCTGTTAAGTTCTGAAGGGAGCAAAGATATCCTTGGATGATCACTGATTTTTATCCATGGAATTTTTGTCTGGCAGAATTATTCAATGTTATGGTAAACATGTTGATGAGAGATGCAGAATTTGAGGTTATCATGGCAGTGAGTATGAATATGGCTTAGTTGTACTACTGTATAGTCAATATAAGTTTACCATTGGTTTGGAGGTAATTGCTGCCACCATCATCATGAGGGCGATGGTGGCAGGAAAGATCTCAAAAACGGTAGACTAGACAGTGCTACAACCCAAAAGAGAGCTATCAAGAGATATACTATTTTTCTGCCAGTTTCCACATGATATTGCAGACTTTAAAATTATTAATCTGTGTGAGAGATGACGATAGAATTATTTGTATGGTCATTCCATGAGCAGGGTTTGATGGGACAGTGTGGAACACCAAAATTTTACTTTTATTGTGCTGCTGATGCTAGGACACGTTCTACATCCTTGGCTTAGGCCAATGAAGGATTTATGGAATGTAAATAAATTCTGTTCTGCCCTCCCAGTTAATAACATTAACTTTTGGTTTATCTATTAAGAGATGTTCATTATTTTATCCCATATTGTGACTGAAACCGGTATTTATTATAGTTACGACAGGTGGTAGCATTAACCTGAATACGCATTTTAATTTTTTTTGGATAAATAAGATATTCAAGGCCTAGTAAATAAACACGGCACAAACAATTAAGAAAATATTGCATACAAATCAATCCTATCCCTTCTAGCTGGCCATGATTACCGATATATTACTTCATATGTAAGAAAGCTATACAACACAAAATTTATATGTTGGTATACGTGAAAATATGGTGGTTATGACTTTGGACGTACAATACAAATGTGATCTGCGTTTGTGTGCTGAAGTGACTGAATAGAATGTAAAACGTAAACTAAGGTACCATCCTACCATTGTCCTCGACTGATTCTTCTATTTCCAAACTGGAATCCAAGTCATTAGACTCGTCGTAATTTTTGTCTTTCGAAGTGTATTCTCTTCTCTTCCATCGGCTGTTTTTCCCTCTCTTCTGTTTATTTTTATTCATATTCAGATTTGGCGTTCCTTTAGTTACATTACATTCCAGAGTAATGCTAATACTAAATGCTTTGACAAATTACGTTACCAGTGAGAAATTCAACCACGATTATGATCGTACTACCATCCACATACATCGACCTCAAATGTGTGACGACAAAACACGCAGTAGGTTATGTCCAGTTATGTGTATGGCGGTAATATGAATATTATACTTGAATGAGATTTGAGGTTGTCACAGCAGCAAGTATGATGATGTCTTCTGGGTTGTGACACTGTGTGGTCTGGTAGAAGGTTACCAGTGTTTTAGAACTACTTGCTACAACCCAGAAGATACCCAACTTCGACGTTCTTCCTCTTATAGTACCTTTTCCGTTTTGGACAGGTCGATAGAATTTCTTTATGTAAATATTGCATTGAAGCTGTAAGACAGGAGTTAAAATCCCATGGTAAGATAAAATATCTCACCACTCATTTCTATATTTGTTTGTGCCTGTCTTTCCATTAATGTTTGAACAAACGAAACAACTTTTAGAATAGTCAGAATGAATAGAGTTTTTTTTTTTTCATGTTGTTGCATCTGTTCTATCCCAGCACTTGCCTGGAGGAAGTAGTGTCTCCAGGCTGAGACTTTAACCTGGAATCTCATGAATATGAAGCAATAGTACTAACCAACTGACTGTAACATTGAGTAACATGTTTGTAAATACAC